GAACTAGCACCATGGCTGGAGGCTTGGCCACACGCCCAGCCCCAGGATAGTCAGGACTGGGCAGCGGGTGCAGCACAGGTCAGGCCAGTTCTTACCTTAAAGTAGCCCAGTGAGGGTGCTAACCAAATTCCTCAGAAGGGGTGTGTTGCCAGAGGCCCTTAAAGGACCATTTCCTCACGGCCCCACAGCAGGCAATATGGTCTTTGAGCAGACCCAAATCAAGAGACATGACTGTCCCTTCACCCAGGCGTCATTTCAGCTGCATCAGAACCCAGACCTGTCTAGGGACTTCCCTAAGAACAGCAGGACTGAAGGAAGGTGGCAGTTCTACCTTTGGTTCCAAAACCAGATAAGCCTTGTCCCGGCACTCAGGGATCAGTCTCAGCCTAGATGGCCCTACACAGGGGAAGGAGGTGGCATGTGGCAGCCATGCTTTGGCTGGCCCTTCTCTGGTTTCAAGGAACCAAAGGGACTTTTCCCTGTTATGGGACAAGGAACAGTGAGCCTTGTGGCTCAGACTTTGCTCCTGCTCAGGAAAACAGGTGCCTAGCCCTGTCTCCACCACCCCTCTAGCTCTGCAGGAACCCCTGAGCAGGGTTGCAAGTCCAGGAGTCTCTGGCCACCTGCTGTCCAGCTAGAGGGGGAAGGTGCTCTGGCTGGGCAAGCCAGCAGGGAGGGCTGTCCTGCCTCCAGAGGGACACTGGGGCTCAGCCATGGGGAATCACAAGTGAGCGACTTTCAAGGACTCAGTCGGCAGCACCTCCCTCCTGTTATTCTGACCCTGTCCGTTTCCTAAGAGGCAGTGGCAGGAAGCCCAGTGAGACTTCAAAGGGCAGTGGTTTCCTCAGACTGCCCACCTCCAGCTTGCCTCTAGGCTGAGGGCCAGCTGCCCCCTTCTCTTCATAAGGTCATGTGTGTCCACAGAGTCAGGCAAAGCCGACCTCCTGCATGTCCCACAATAGGGCATACACTTAGGCACAGTAGAGCTCCAGGTACACCTCTGACCACTGCCCAGTGGGTGGGAGGGAAGACAGGAGTGACTCTACCAGGCCTGAGCATGGAGTGGACAGGGAAGGGCAGGCCTTTGAGGCTGCTGCAGACAGGGCTGAGACCTAGACCAGCTGCCAACTATGACACCTCAGCCACCCTCTCAATTTTCCCACTCACCTAACAACACTGGAGCCTTCTATACCCTACCTGTTAGTCCCCACCCCTGGAGCCCTTCAGGCCTGAATGCCTGAAAGGGGAGCAGCCTTGTCCAGTATCCCTGCCTCCTCAAGGGCCTCACCCCCGCCATGGCCCTCCTGCTCAGGGTGCTTGCCAAACAGGAAGCGGGTTGAGGGGAAGACGACCAGGCCCTTCAAAGGCCCACACGCAGCCCCATCAAGGATGGGAAGCTTCTGAAGTTTAGGAAGGGCATCCGGAGAGCAGAGTGTCAGGAGGTGGAGGCTGGGCAGCAGGCCTAGCAGTCACTCCAACGGACCCCTGTGCAGAGGGGCCAATGTCTGTGAGGATGGGGCCATGGTGCCAGGAAAGCCACACTGACGGACCACAGATCAGTGTCCTGTCAGCCTGAATCCCTGGGGGCCTCTCCTTCCCACATGTCCTGGCCTGGGCACAGCCCCCTCAGCATCCTCCCTTGACCCTTGCCACTCCTGCATGGCTCAGGTGCTCTTTCTCATCTCTCATTCTTTTCCACACAGCTCCATCCCCTATGTAGCCTAAAGACCACCCAGTCCAGGGCAGGCTGTGGTCAGTGCCAAGGTCCTGCTCCCTGAAGATGCCAATAAGCATGGGCCCAGACTGCTCAGGAAGGGGCCACCTGTCAGTGAACAGCCCAGGAGGGAGCAGTTGCTACTCAATCTGCCTGAACAGTGGTCCTGGGGTATCTGGGGTTGAGGATGCAGGAGCTAAACCTAGAGATAGGTAGCTGGGGTGGGGGCATGCTCACAGGCTAAAGGGTTCTAAGATGGCTAGAACCTCATACCCTATCCCTCCCAAGTCCCTCTCATTTAGCCCCTTTTGTGCCTGGAACTTGTACCAAATCTCTGCTGTAAATCCCCTAGCAGATGCTCCCAGAAAGCCAGGGATGGCAGTTACTCCAGATCCCAAGGGTGGATAGGGGGACCTCAGTGTCACAGCCCTCCTGCCTGGCCCTCATGCCCTTGTGATGCTGTGGGACAGACAACCTTTCAGGAAGAGGCCCTGCTGCTTGCTGGCAACCACACTGCCTTTGACCAGCATAGCCATAACGCACGGGGGCTGGAAGCTGGCCTGAACCCATGTTAAAAGCAGTTCCAGGCAGCACTAGAGTCGGGGGGAGGAGGTCTGGGCTGAGAAGGCATGACCCTACAATCTGTGAGATCAGCCTGCCAAGGATTTACCCAAAAGGTACTCACAAACTAACAACTCTCGCTCACTGAGTAAGAGTGTTTTACTGTGTGAATCCCAGTCTGGGGCTCGGCCCCAGCCCCACCCAAGCTCCAGCCTGTTCCTTGTAGAGTCTCCTGAGGAGTGTGCAGGTGTCCTTGAGTGTGCTAGGTGGGGCCACCCTGGCCACAGTCACTCAGTCTGTGGCAGCCTCGAGGTGAAGACAGAAGTGGAGTGAGGGTCCCTCCTGCCCAGGCTCAGGGGCCACAGGGGTCCTCACAGTCCTTTCCGCTGCGGAACACGTGGTAGATGCTAGTAGGAGGGAACATGGCAACAGCACCAAACAGGGAGCCCACCTGGATGGCCACACCAGCTGCCAGCAATGCTGGCTGGCCCCCACTGTGCAGCAGAGAGCTAATTGCCACCTTCACATAGGAGAACGTGCCCAGACACAGTACCCATGACAGCACCTGTGAGGAGACACAGCAGCAAGTTGAGTGTGAAATGCCCCTGCTCCAGAGCAAACCCATGCCACCTTCACATCTTAGCTGTGCTCACCACAAGGATTACCCCTGCAGAGGTGCCCACCAGGGGCGGGCAGGGGCTCAGGATCGCCAGCGTCATCAAGTAGGCTCCAAACAGTATGCCCAACAAAGAGAGACTGCTTAACCCGGCCAGAGACCTGCCAGAGGTGAGCAGGTTCAAGGCTGGCTGTGCTAGGACTTGGCCCCCACCTGAGTTCCACCCACCAAGGAGTTTGGGATCCCTTGCATACCTGCACAGTACGCCCATGGCTAGGAAGCAGGCAAGGGGGTTGGAGGCACTACCCAGAACCACAGCTAGGTGGTAAGCCAGGCGCCCATAGGGCAAAGAAGAAAAGCTCTGGATTGCAGGCAGCACGCCATTGGTCAGTGCATTGGTAATGGCCAGTAGGCCCAGCATACAGGCACTGCGGGCCGAGAGTAGCCGACAGGCTTCAGGGTCTGGGCTAGAGGTGGCGCTAGCCACCTGGCTTGGTGACTCCTGCAACAATGAGGCTTCTTTCTCCTCTTCTTCCTCCACTCCTGAGGCTCCCACCTGCAGGCCAGGCCTTGGGCCTCCTGTGGGTACAGATGTTGGTGATGGCAATAGCAGCAAGAGACCCTGGAAAGCAGCAGCTGAAGTAACCAGAAGGGCAGAAAGTGCCCAGAAAAAGGTGCTGGCAGAAAAATGCTCAGGGACATTGAGGGGGGGACCAGGAGTGCTGTTGGTAGGGGCTGCTGAGCACTCGAGGCGGCCCACACCCTGCACAAGGGCCAGCACACAGGGCAGCAGGGCACTGAGGCCCTGACCCAGGAAGAAAGATCGTAAGAAAGGAGGTGGCATGCGGCTCAGGAAGGGCAGGAAAGTGACATTAGAGGCGCAACAGGCCAGAGCCAACACTAAGGCCAGTGCTAGGAAGGCCACAGAGTGGAGCTGCCCTGCCACTGTGGCCTTGTGGTGCCACAGAGAGGCCAGCAGGGCTGTGGCCACCACACTCAGCACCTGCACCACCTGGATGGGGGCCCGCTCGCCCTTGCTCAGGGCCAGCCGCCTCCATAGGGTAACCACCAGCAGACCCAGGTTCCCCAGCGCCACACACACAGAGAGGTAGGCGGGGAGGCTCCAACCTGCAGAGAAGGGGAAACCGGTCAGGGGTGGGATCCTAAGAGAGACAAAGAGCAGGTGCAGCCCACTTTCCTGGGCGCGCCTGCCCAGCTGCCCTGCACCTCCTCTCACTCACCCTCTGGAAGGTCTTTTACCACCACAGGCAGCTCTACCCAGATCCCGTTGACAGCAGCCCAGGAGCCCATGCCAAAGAGGGCCACCAGCACGTGGGTAAGCATCAAACGGCCCAGCGTGGGGGCTGCCATTAGCCCACGGCTGGGCCCTCCAGGAAGGGGCAGAGATCACAGCCAGCTCTTTCCCCACCTAGGTCCAGAGACGCTTCGGCTCTTCTGGTTTAAGGGAACCAGTCAGGCCTGCAGAACGGATGGGAGTCGAAAACAGTCAGACTGCCAAGAACAGGGGACCCGGGTGGTGATGGGTGGGGGGAGCGCTGGCGGGGCGGGGCTGGAGGCGGGACCTGGCTGAAACTACAGAGCAGCACGGGCCGTCAGAGTACGTACCAAGACGCGGGAACGGCGGCAGGGGGAGTGGCAGGAAGCCTGTCCAAGCCGCTGCGGACCCCGGTGAGGGAGCTGATCCCCCTCCACAGAGAACTAGGACTCAGAGTTGCCCAAACCACCACCCTCACACCAAAACAGACCCCGGGACAGGGCGCCACTCAGGTGCCGCGCAAGCTAGGGCTTTTGCGGCAGCCTGGGCTGCAAAGCCCAGTCGGACTCGGGACGGGAACCCGCACCCGGCGCGCTCACCGACCGGGTGAGCCAGGGAGCCGTTCCCGCCTGGCGCCCGCAGGCCTGGACCCCAACTCAAGCTCTGGGCCTCCTCCGGGTTGCAGCCCGCGGGCCCGCCCCCCACGTGGCTCAGACCGGAAACTCCGCCCCGGAAGGCGGGTGCTGGCACCTTGGGCGCTAAGTAGACCAAAGGGGCAGGGAGAGGGTTGTCCGGACCGCCTCTTCCGCATCAGGCGGGGAGGGGTTGTCCGGCCGCGGTGTAGTGTAGGCTGCCATGGCTGCCCCGGCCACCCGGCATCCCCGGCGCAGGGCCCGGACCGCGCCGCTGGCCGGGACGCTGGCCCGCTCGGCAGAGGACTGGTGGTGGGATCGTCTAGCGCCGAGCGACTCCGGGTACCACCTGCTGCAGGCGGACAGCATGTTGCTGGTGCTGCCCGGCCCAAGTCCCGCCCGCGCCCGCGTCCGCTTCCGCGCGCAAAGGCGCGCCCTCCGCCGAACTCAGCGACAGCGGCCCGTGGGCCCCAGTGCTGCAGCGGCAAAGCCCAAGGCCACGCCGCGGCCTGAAACAGCGTCCACGCCCCAGCAGGAGCCCGACGCTGGCTGGGGAGACCGCGTTCCCTTGGAAATCCTGGTGCAGATTTTCGGGCTGTTGGTGGCGGCTGAAGGACCCGTACCGTTCCTGGGCAGGTATAACTGCACCCACAACCCTGGGCCTGTCTAGCCAGCGGTTTGGACCACAAGTGGTCTGAGCTTGTGGCTGGGGTGGGGGCAGAGGGCGAGTGAGTCCAAGCGCGCATACTTGGGGTGCTCAGACGTCCGTCCGAGAGCAGAGCACTTAGGTGACCCGGCTGGAGCCCCGAGAGCCGGGCTTTGAGCTGAGGTGTCCACCGCGCTGTGAGTTGAGGGGCAGGTACCCCCGACTTAGGGACCACGTAGTGGTGGTAGTCTGTAGGGGCATCACCCAGGGAAGGCCCGGGGCCGTCAGCAGAGCTGTCCTCCCAGGGCTGCGCGGGTGTGCCGCCGCTGGCAGGAGGCCGCCTCCCACCCTGCGCTCTGGCACACCGTGACCCTGTCGCCCCCGCTGGCTGGCCGCCCTGCCAAGGGTGGGATCAAGGCGGAGAAGAAGCTCCTTTCTTCCCTGGAGTGGCTTATGCCCAATCGGTGAGGGGTTTCCTCTTTTCTTTATCCCCTGGCTCCACCTATATGGTGTGTGGCAAGCCCTAGGCCCCTTCTGTCTTACTGCACCAAGCTGTTGGGTGGGGAGGACTCTAAAAGGAGGGGCAGACTTCTAGAGACAGAAGATACTAGTGCAGCTCTGCCTGTGCTGTCGGCCAGGTTCTCACAGCTCCAGAGGCTGACTCTTATCCACTGGAAGTCCCAGATACACCATGTTTTTAAGGTGAGAGCTCCAGGCTGCCTTGCACACCAGCCATGACATTTTGGGGTTGTCTTATACTCTAGGAAGTAGGTCAAGCACCTTGGGGACCCAATGCTATCCCTTGAGGACGCCTGCCTGCCTTTCCTGTTGTCTGCTCCAGCAAGGGTGTGCTAGAGGTGGGGCACCCAGGTGGGCCTGGTGTGAGCAGAATGGAGGTCATAGCTGAGGCAGTAAAGTGGGGTGGCCCTAACTACCAGTTTCTCTGTGGACTCCAACTCTGGTTGGCCTTCTGTCTTCCCAAGCTGGTAGGTGAGTCCTGTCCTCGGCTCACTTTTCTCAAGCTTTCAGACTGCCATGGTGTGACCACTGATGCACTGGTCATGCTAGCCAAAGCCTGCCATCAGCTCCACAGCCTGGACCTGCAACACTCCATGGTGAGCCCTATGTCCTAAGGGGCCCTGAAAAACTTTGGACTGAGGTGACAGGTTTCTTGTGCTGGGTTCTCAGGTGGAGTCCACAGCTGTGGTGAGCTTTTTGGAGGAGGCAGGGCCCCGAATGCGCAAGCTGTGGCTAACCTATAGTTCCCAGACCACAGCCATCTTGGGTGCACTGCTGGTAAGCTGGTGATGGTGGGGGGCAGAGCCAAATGCTGAGCTGAGAAGTAGGGGGACCCTGACCCTATGTTCTCCCCACCTCTGCAGAGCAGTTGCTGCCCTCAGCTCCAGGTTCTGGAGGTGAGCACTGGCATCAACCGTAATAGCACTCCCCTCCAGCTGCCTGTGGAGGCTCTGCAGAGAGGCTGCCCACAGTTGCAGGTATCTGATGCCCCACCCCTCCACCTGCAACCCCTCTTCCTGTCTGCAGCCTGGGCTTCACCCCCAGGTGCTGCGGCTGCTGAACCTCGTGTGGCTGCCCAAGCCTTCTGGGCGAGGGGTGGCTCGTGGACCAGGCTTCCCCCGCCTTGAGGAGCTCTGCCTGGCCAGCTTTGCCTGCAACTTTGTGAGCAATGAGGTCCTGGGCCGCCTGCTCCATGGCTCCCCCAACCTGCGACTGCTGGATCTTCGAGGCTGTGCACGCATCACACCTGCTGGCCTACGTGATCTCCCGTGTCAGGGTCAGCTGTGCCTGGGCATTGGCTGGGCAGGTGAGATGTGGGGCCTATTGACTACCTTGCTCTTCACGACCCCTCCTCTCACCTCAGAGTTGGAGCAACTTCACCTGGGCTTGTATGGCGTGTCAGACCGGCTGACTCTAGCCAAGGAGGGCAGTCCCCTGCTGACCCAGAAGTGGTACCGCACTCTGCGGGAACTGGACTTGAGTGGCCAGGGATTCAGCGAGAAGGACCTGGAGCAGGCCCTCGCTGCCTTCTCAGGCACCCCTGGGGGCTCACACCCGGCTCTGTGCTCCCTTAACCTCAGGGGTACCCGGGTTACACCCAGCACCATCAGGTCAGCACCTCCTCCCTGGTTCCTTGGCACCAGTATACTTGCCTCCCTGTGCAGCAGAGCCCCAGAAGTGCTGTCCTGCCTGGCTGTGGCTTCCCGGGGTCTAAGAGAGGCATGCATACCCTCTTTGGCCTTGGGGACCCTGAGGGTATGGGCTTGGCCTCCATGGCTATGGGTGGCAGAGCCAGGTGTAAAGCCTAGCCTGGCCCAGCCCTTTCTGGGGCCTGGGTCTTCTGGGCAGTGGATCAGCTCCCTGGCCTGCTCTGCCCCCACAGCTCTGTGGTCAGCAGCTGCCCAGGCCTGCTGTACCTCAACCTGGAGTCCTGCCGCTGCCTTCCTAGGGGCCTGAAGCGGGTCTACCGGGGCCTGAAGGAAGTCCAGAGGTGTCTGGAGCAGCTGCTCACCACCCCTTCCTCCCCCCACTAGGCAGTTACCAACCCTAGAGGCCCCAGCCAGCCAGCACCGTCCTGTATGCTTCCCCAGTTTTGAATATTTGAGCATTTTGTTACAATAAAACGTTTTTGTAACTCTGTGTGGTTACTGGGATAGGGTTGAGGAACAGAAGTCATAGCTGATGATGGAGCTACTTGGAGGTTGCAGCTGGCCCAGAGCCTGTGTGTTGTGGGGGTAGGGTGGCCCCCAGCGAGTTCTTGAGCCTGCTCTGGCTGCCTTTGGCCTGCTCACTGCCGGGCTTGAGTCTTAGGCTGAGGGTGTGTGTCCTACCCACAGTACACTGAGACTGTAGTTTAGGTAGACCTAGGGTGACCAGCCTATTACCTTCAGGTGAAGACTAAACTAGGCTGTGCAGGGTGTCTCCAGTGGGGCAGAATTTGGCCCAGGGGAAGCACACGTCTACCACTGGTCCTTCCCCTGGGACTTCCCAAAGAAATGGTCAACAGAGCAGCCCCTTCTAGAACCCGCCGCCCGGAACTTCTAGAACCCGTGGGCGGCGCAGCCTGGACCACTGCCTGGCTTCACTGCCCTATCGCCTGCGACCTTTTACTCCTTCCTGAACCGCAGCCCTGGAGAATCTGGTCTCCCAGGTAGGAGCGTGACTGGGGACAGTGACTGGTAGCCTCGGGACAGCCGCCAGGTTGATGGCATCTGCCTGCCCAGGTCCCTAAGGGCCGGGCTAGCGGCCTGCCCACAGCCTCCGGCGGCAAGCGTTTCCAACTCTGGGCCCTGGGACTCTTCTGCACCGAGCGCCACCTAGCCAGGCGCCTCAGGAGCAACAGCTTCTACCCGTTCACGCAGCAGCAGCCGGACGGTGCGCGTGGGGCGGGGCGGTATTTGGGCGGGACTCGAGGAGGTGCCCGGAGACCCGAATGGGGCGGGGCCAGATGGGCAGGGCACTGGTACAAACCATAATAGCACTGGGCGGACCCTGGGCGGGGCCGACCAGTGCCCTTAGGGGCTCAGATGTAGTGGGCGGATGTCACTGCTTCCCCGAGCCCTAAGCCGGTGGGCTCTTCCCGGCGGAGCTCTGGCACCGCCACCCCGGCTACGGGCAGGGTCCGCAGAGCTCACGCCGCCGCGCGCCGCCCCCAGTCTTCGTCCTCGAGTACTACCTGGACACGCTGTGGAAAGGGGCTCTGCTCTTCGTGGTTTGCGTGGTCCTGGTCAGCTTCAGCTCCCTAAGACAGGTTGGAGGTCCTGAGCCCTACCCCACTGCCTTCCTCCCCGAGGACGGGACCGGAAGCTTGGCTTCCGCTCCTGAAGCACCTCTTCCCTACCCCGAGCACCCCGCCTCTGGCTGGAGCTGCTCAGATGGTCCCGTGGCACCCGCAGGTGCAGAAGCAGGAGACTTGGGGCTTTCTCGCGTACGGTGTGGGCGTGGGCCTGTGGCTCATCGTCTCGTCGCTGCCGCGGCGCCGCCTGGTGCTGAACCACACGCGTGGCGTGTACCACTTCTCCATCCAGGGCCGGACCGTGTGTCAGGGCCCCATGCACCTGGTCTACGTGCGCCTGGCTCTCAGCTCCGACGGTGACCCTGGGGACAGGCGGGCTGGGGGAGGGTATGCAAAGGAGAGGAAGGCTGGTGGGGTGCGGGGAGGGGTGGACAGGGTCTCTGTCCGAGCCCCGGAGGCCCTCAACTGAGTCCGCTGCCCCTTACCAGCCTACGGAAGATGCTTCTTCCAACTGGTCCTTGGTGGCCACAAACTGGAGCCGCTGGTGCTGGTGCAGCTGTCGGAGCGCTACGAGGTGAGTCCTGCCACAGGCACTGCCCCTCCTGAGGACAAAATGACGCCAACCACTGTTTAATTTCTTTGGAGGGGGCTTTTTCCGCATGAAAAGGGTAAACAGGAAGCGGTCCTCTGTGCCGAGAGGCAGCAGATAGGAAGCCCACCGGACTATCTGCAGGGCATGCAGGCGGCGGGTTAAGGGGAGAGCCCGAGTCCAGGCCAGAGCTGACCCACTCTGGCTCCCATAGCAAATGGAATACCTGGGCCGTCACATCGCTCGGAAACTCAACCTTAACTACTTCGATTACTTGGCCACATCCTACCGACATGTGGTCCGCCACTGGCCGCTGGGGGCCGCCTTTAGCCCAGGCCTCGTTAGGCGCAAGACCCAGGCATACGGCAGGCCCAGCCTCTCTGATTCCGACCTGGAGGTGTGACTCTGAGGGCCTCTGCTCCACCTCTTCCTCGCCTCCAGGACTGTGTTCTTTGGTGCATTAGGGCACAGGGAATGCGAGGCCCACCCTCTGTCCTTCCCCTCAATAAAGCTGTCTCAGCTTCCAGACCTGGTCCTTCTGGGGAGCAAAGACACTCTGGATCCAAGGGCTTTGGGCTAGCTCGCACTGCCTGAGGCCTCAGGGAGCCTGCTTCTTCTAGCCAAAGGAGCAGACCCCAGACTGGAGTGGAGCAGGGTGGTGTGTGGGCAGGGTGATGAGAGGTAGAGCCCATTACCACATGAGCTCAGGACTTGCTGCCTTTCCTGGCCAGCAGCAATTAACTAGTCCAACATGACCTCAGAGGTGCTGGCCAATGAGTGGAATTCAGGAGTCCAAATCTGATATGGCTGGTCTGGGTCAGGTGCCTATTCCTAGTCCACCTAGCAGTGGGATGGGGGTAGGGGAAAGCCAGAGAATAAGCCCTGTGTCTGGGGTACATCTCAGAGTAAATGCTCTCCCAGAGTTGCTGCTGCATTCCTCCCAGGCCAGGGCACAAGGCCTCCAGGGAGGATACACTGTGGTGACCATGGCACTTGGCTCTACATGCCTGCTGGGGCCCAGTCCTATATTCCCTTGTGCAGCAGGACACCCCCCCGCCCTGCTCCCCAGCTGCTCTAACTGCAGCACCTAAGGTTGCCTGGGTTCTGAGGATGTGAAAGCTGGGGGTTCTGGGAGGAGCAGTGCCTGGCACTGTCCATCTGGCTCTCCTGGCCAGCATGCTTCAGGCATTGTGTCAACTAAGTGTCCCTAGAGCCAGGAGTGGTTACATAATATTCAAGGGTCCATGACAAATAAAAATTCAGACCCCTTTTTATAAATTATTAAGAAGCTGAACACAGCATCATGAACCTGTAGTCCCAGCTACTTGGGAGGCTGAAGCTGGAGGATCATTTGAGGCCATCCTAGACAGATTGTGAGATTCTGTCTATAAAAACTAAAAACTGGCTCGGCGCCTGTGGCTCAAGCGGCTGGGGCGCCAACCACGTACACCTAAGGTGGCGGGTTCGAATCCCCAGCCCGGGCCCGCCAAACAACAATGATGGCTGCAACCAAAAAATGGCC